CTGGTGGGGAGCGAGCGGCGGGGGTGGCGAGTGTTGGGGGACCGGAGGACGCCCAGGACCAGGGTGGGGCATACATTGGTTGGTCAGGTTCATCAAGGGTTGGCTGTGAGTTCAAACCGGAGCCAGGATGGAAAGGGTGTGGATTGGGATCGGAAGGGACCTTCTTGTTGGACAACTATGCCAGGCAGCCAGAGATTTACCAGCTCAAGAATGGGGCATGTTTCAGGGGGCAGCCGGTTGGGCAGCACCCTGAAGATACGACCCGGCGGTGGCTGGGCTTCTAAGGTAGGAGGAGAAAATTAAGAGTGGTCAGGAGAGGAGCTAGACGGGGTCCTGGGCACAAGAGGACGCTTGAAAGGGATGGTTACTGGGGAGACTGTCACTGGAGAGGCCAATTAATGGGCTCCAAGCCCCCTAGGGGAAGGGGACATTGCATGTCTGAAGGTGGCCAGGTGATGCAGTCGATTTGGGCCGAGGAGACAGTGCCCTGAAGACATGGAGTGAGAAGGACCCCAGGTCTAGCACTCCGAGAGAGCACATCTCCAGTCTTGGTTCCACTCGACGAAGATGTTCAGGGGCTACAATCCTCAGCCCAGCACCCTGCCCTCTCCACCCCTGAACTAGCTCTGTCTGGAGCAGAGCCTGTGTGCACAGAATCAAGTTAGTCGGCGCAGGCGGGCAAAGAGACGTGGCACTGATCCGGATGAGTATCACATTTATTTCACAAACACTGGGTAAGTAGGTGGGGGCTGTGTGTAGGGGCCCAGGTGCACAACTGTACACACATTGCCAGTGGCCCACTCCCCACACTGAGGAGCCAGCCAAGCAGTGCCTCCAAGCCGAAAGGCAGTGGGAGGAGCTACAGAGAAAGCTGTCAACACCAAGCCTCCGGAAAGGGTAAGGGTCCAACCCCAGCAGTCCCGGGAAAAGCACAAATAAATTAAGAGGGGGCACAGCCCCGCCCATGCAGATCATCTAGTCACCCATCTTCACTCTGGAGGTCTGAAAAAGAAGAGGAGGAGAAGTCAGGCAGGGACAGTGACAAATGACAGAGCAGACGGAGCTATCCATGGCTGGACGGACACACCGGGCCAGTTAGAGGATCAGGAGGTACACACTGTGACGGAAAAACACTGATGCACAGGGACGCTAGACGTCTCCAACTCTGAGACAAATGGAGAAAACTAGTAACAAGTCCAGTCACTGTCACAGACAAGCCACACACCACTCAGATGGGCGGTCCTACTGACAGACAGGCACATTAGCCCTGAGGGACACAGGGAACACGTGAGACAGACCAACCCAGTCACGTCCAGCCCAGCCTAGTCCACAAGCAAGCAGCAGCAGTGGACAGGACAGAACCACAGAGAGGAGAAGATGACAGACAGCTGTTACAGAAAGTGGTGAGGAAAAGACATCTAGATACAAAACAGCATAAAAGGGAGACCGCTGTCAGCGACACCGGATCACACGCCGTTTCCAGGGTTATAGACGGAGGGGAGGAGCACTGCAGCCCTGCTGCAGGCAGGAAGACAAGAGGAGCTCTGGGAGGACTTCGCACCTGGAGGATTGCGACGATGACCCCAAAGAGACCGATGGCGCTGCCAAAGATCTCCACGATGAGGATCTTCACGAAGAGGCTGGGGTTCTGCGCGTCAGCCAGGGCAGCCCCACTGCCCACGATGCCCACACAGACTCCACAGAAGAGGTTGCAGAAGCCCACTGTGAGGCCAGCCCCAAACATAGAGTAGCCTGCAGGGACGGGAAAGGAGGGGGACCGAGGTTCAGGCAGGCCTAAGGGAGATGAAAAGAGCCCACCGGGCCAACCACCTCCACCCTGCCCGACCCCCACCCCTGCAAAGCAGATCAACCTAGGGAAGAGAGTATCAAAATGAAGAATCCAAACTGGACTGGCGGCCAGAGCAGGGGAGGAAGCAGGTGTGAAATCCCCGCTTTGCCCCAGCACAAACCCACCTACCTGCATGGTAGTTTCGATGGCCGATGGCCTTGGGGTTAGTGGCAGTGAAAGGCTGAGAGAGGCAGAAAAGCAATCAGGTATCACTCCCTATGCCACCCCACGCCACGCCCACCCGTAAGCACTCAGGACACACCAGAAGGGGAGCCACCAGGGTTCTCCATACCTCAGCCATGTTGCTAATGACAATTGCCATGATGATGCCGTAGATGGCTACAGCCTCACAGAAGATGATGCTGGTGATGGCAGGAGTTGGAGAACTTGGTGAGTTGAGTGAGAAACCAACCTTCCTCCTCCGAGTCCCCCACCAACATCCCACCCCATCAAGAGGCTGGTCAAGGCCAAAGAGCTCCCAAATTCACCCAAGGCTGAGTTTCCCAAGAACCCTTATGCTTACCTGACCAGGTTCTTGGTCTTGATCCTGGGGGCCTTCACCCCTCCCCCAATGATGGAAGACCCAGTAATATAGATGCCCCTGGTGGAAGAGTAAGAAAAGGGTGCTGATGGCCCCAGCTGTCACTTCCACAAAGATGACCAAGGGCTCGAGGACATCGCCCTCATGATTAGCCCCTCTCCACAACCCCACAATCCCAATACTCACCAGGCTGCCCCAACCACAGACAGGGAGATAGCTAGCCCAATGCCCAGGTTCGACCACATAAAGGGGGAAGTCTCAGTAAGGAACCTGGT